TCATTAGTTTATCATATTTATATAATTTTATATATTTAATTTAATTAAAATTAAAATTAATTATAATGATATATTTATAAATAATTTAGTAAAATAACATTTTTAATTAAAAATATTTTAATTATTAAACTTATAAATTTAAACATTTTTTTTTATTTTTCCTACGAATTAAAATTGACAAGAAAATTCGTAAGAAAAATTACCTGCAAAATTTTTCTACAAATTAATAAACATTACTTGCGAATTTATTTTTATAAGAAAATCTACAATAAACTAAATAAAATTCTTGCAACACTTTCTGCAAATTTTTACCATGAAAGGAATTTCTCTCATCATTAAAATTATAGCAATAATTGTAAAAATTTCTTGTAGACTATATTTCATAAAAAAAATTTCTAAGAAATATCTGTAAAATATTTTTTTCAAATAAATGTTATCAATTATTTCTCTCTTTTTTTAATTCATAAACATATATTGTCGTATTTAGTAATAGTAGATAACATAATTATGACAAGTACAAATATTATTCTGCTTGTAAAGTAGAAACATGCTATTTGTTATATAATTTTGATAATTATAAATTAATTAATAAAATTTAATATTATAGTACTACGTATGCTTACTTATTTTAAATTAGTAAGTTTAAAATATATTTCACAAACAAAATTAGATAAAAGTAACGATTTTTAGATAAAATTAAAATAAGCTAAATTTGTTGTTTTAATTAATAATTATATAAGAAATAAATTAATAAATAAAATATTATCTATATATATACATATCAGTATACTTTTTATTATTTAGTTATTAAAATATATTCATGAATGTTAATAATAAATAAAATAATGATTAATTTTATTTAGTTAAATTATACTTTTAATTCTATATCTTATTTTCAAATTTCATTTTATTCTTTATCTTTCAAAATGTTGATGTCAATCATTTACATTCTAAAGTTGGTTATTACAAAATGGTGATATTTTTAATTTTGGAACATAATTTTAATTTTTTTTAATTGACTAAAAACATGAAGTTTCGCTCATTAACATACATGAAACTGTAAAATCCAATTATATTAGTAGACCTAACTCTATTTAATGAACAATTAAATCACAGACATATTTATTATATAATAAATACAATTAAATATTAATTATTATATTAAGTTGTAACATGCTATTTATTTATTTATTTTTAATTGTTGACGAGCACTGTGACACCCTCTACTCCAACATATATATGAAATTTATTCTTGGTTTAAATAAAATCTTTATAATTAAAACAATAAATCCATTAACATAAGAGTAGATGATTCACATTCGTATATTTCAAATATAGTAAAATGCGAAATTTATAACTAAATGAATATTTTCCAAAATAGAATAACAATAAGAAATCCTAAACTAAATCTAGTTATGACCCGATGTCACATATCCTATCAGAGCATGCCTAACTAGGCATGGCAACGGGGCGGGGAACATAAAACCCGCCCCCGCCCCCGCAAATTTAAACTGCCCCTGTCCCCGCTCTTGATACTCGTCGGGAGTAAAATCTAAGTCCCCATCTCTACCCCCGACGGGGTTCGAGTTTCCCCGCCCCGCCCCCGC